AATTGAAACAAAAAAATTATTGTCACATCAAAGATACTACCATATTTGTTTTATGTATACATATGTACATATTGTATATGTATCAAAAAATAATTTGGTATGTACCCTTTTATCGATGCATACCCTACCATTAAATTTGTGATTTTATTATAAAATTTCATGATATCAACCACAAAATACGTAATTTAATTACAAATTGGCATAAAAAAGGATAAATTACAAATGCACCTACTGAGATTTGCTTAAAATATGAATTACCGCTTGTAGTTTGAAAAATTACAAATACCTCATTATCAGAATTTTTTATTTAACATAATTAATTAAAAAGGTAAATTTTCTAACTGTTCACCTATACAATAATAAAATTATTTGAATTATTAATTGAAATAAAATTTTAATATTATTAAAAACTGTTAATTAACTTGATGATTTATTAAAAAAATGACCTATTTGTTATGAAATTAGAAACCTTAGGGAACAAAATGTAATTTTTAAAACTACATGAGATAATTTGTAATTCAAGTAAATCTCAAGAGGTGTGTTTGTAATTTATCCGAAAAAATTAAGTAATCAACTTACAAACTTTTAAAACACCAAATACAAAAGTATTTTTGAGTTTTTTTTTTTTTTAAATTTAAAATCCCTCCACATTGAATATTGTGTCAACGTAAAATTCAAAATCTTGTCGCATTGGATTTTCAGTCAACTTGTTGGAACCATTCAGCAACACCAAAATGGAAAAAAAAAAAAAGAAAAAAAAAGCAAAACAAAAAAGAACAAATCACATCTCTATTTCCAAGTGTGCATTTGAAAAAAAAAAATACTTTAAAACTTTTTTGATTTTTGGACTTAACCAAACAAAAATTCTAAAAAATTTCAAAAAATTAAGTTTGAAAAATCGGAACCGAACATGTTGAATAAAATCGTACAAATACCCCTTTTCTCTTTTGAAAAGGAAAAAACAAAGTGTTTTTATAGTTAAAAAGATTGAAATGTATGCATGCTAAATGAAGGATCTAATAGCGTTTGGTAGAGTTTTGTAAATGTGATTTAAGAGTATGAGTTATATTTTGAATTTGTGTATTGTGGAATTATGATTTGAGTGTAAAAAATTTGTTTGGTAAAGAGTTTTGAAAATAGTTTTGAAAAGAGTTTTGATTTAAGTGGGGAATTGTTGATGTGACATTTGAAATTTGATGCAAAAATTTACAACTCATATAGCTCAAAATTATTTTAAAGCACATAAAAAATTTTAAAAATTTCAGAAAATATTTTTTTCGATTATATATTAATTGCAAAAAAAAAAATTTGTAAAAAAAAAAATAAATAAAAATCACTTTTCTGGTCAAACCGGCCGATCAACTGGCCGGACGTCCCGTTTTGAAAAAAAAAAATTGAAACACGCGCTCGGTTTTTACAGAACAGACAGAGCGTTCTGCAGAGCTGTGGAAAATTAATTCCATAGCTTCATCCAAACACCATACTCAAACTATCATGTTGAATCATATTTTGAAATCACAACCAAACACAGCCGTAATAGTTGAATGGGTTTTACTGTAATTAACTCAAAAAATTATGTTGGTTCTGATTTTGTTCTAATAGCTTTTGATATCATATATTTGAATAAAATTTATCTATATATGTCACCAACAAATATATGACTTTAAATTTTAAACTCTAAACCACCCTAAACAATTTATTTTGAGAAATTCGGCTCAAGATTTTTTTGAGACTTTATACTAAATAACAAAATTAGGCTTTAATTTACTTAGACATTTGAAAAATTGAGGTTCTTAATTAATTTTTTTTTCTTCATGTTAAGTCTTAAGCGATGAATTAAGTAACTTAATAGTTGAGCCACATCCACACTGCGAAGGCAGAACATGGTTCGGCTTCAAGTACATCTTAGAAGGAACTTCTTCTTTGGATACTCGCAAGAACTTTACATGTAACAGATAGATTTACAATTCACAAAACAATCCTTTAAAATATTACCAATTATTGAATCCAAGCCCATGTTCTGCTCTCCATGTGTGTTCTGTTGTCTATATCATTTTTTTTGTTCTTTCTTCTTTTCCTTTTATCAAATTCATTATAAAAGTTGATAGCACATGTTAGTGGGAATTTATTCGAAATCATCTCTCCAAAACATTTTCTCCATCAAATATTCGTCTTTTTGGGATGCTTAAAATTGGCAATAGATTGCAGAGGCCTCATTCATCAATTATGTAGGATATGGCTATTGATTCTTCCCCAAATATTCAACTTCAAAAACACCCCTATTGATTATTTGTCCAAAGATTTTTATTTATTTTTGACATTTGATAGGAGAAGAATAGTTGAAGAAATTGCATTACGCATTAAGGAAGAGTTGAATTCAAATATCACACCTAAATAAAAACGCGCAACAATCCATTAGTCTAAAACGTGCTCCAAAATATTTAAAATATCACACCTAAATAAAAACGCGCAACAATCCATTAGTCTAAAACGTGCTCCAAAATATTTAAAACATCCCAAACTTGAAAAAATTACGGTCGTAAAGGGTTGTTAACAAATACTACAATTTAAATTCACAACTGTTTTTTTTTTTTTTTTTTTTTTTCATGCTACAATTTAAAAAATTCTACTTTCTCTTCTCTCATGTTCTGTGGTTCTTGAAGTTTGCTTCTGTTCCTTTTCTTGTAATCTTACAAGAAAAATGATTTACAAATATGATAAGTTATCTAAAAAATACATTTAGAATGATATGTCAATAATATTTGTAGAATTATGAGGACAATAATTCTCTATAAAATTTTTGTAATATATCATTACTCCCCTTATAGTCAACAACAGCTAATTCACAGCTCTTAGAATTAGGTCTTAGAATTCCACATATAAAATAATCAACTACTATCTACTAAATCGTATAGTATCAAATAGACAAATGCTAACAAATGTCATTGAAATAAAATATTTTAAAAAAATATGTCAACATTTAAAAAAAAAAGAAGTTATGAAATCGGTTTTAAAATTAGTAAAATAACGAGAAAATCTCCAATTCATAATAATTTCAAGCAAATGTCTAAAGAAAAATGTAAAATACAATTATCCCAAAAGAATTAAGTAACTTAAAAAAAAATAAAAAAAAAAATTGAATGCACAATTTGAATAAACACAACCTCCGTGTCGACAACACGGCATTTGACAATGGTAAATTATTTTTAGATTTTTTATGTTATATTTGTATGATTTAGATTTTTTTTTTTTTTTTTAAAAAAAACTGTGAAATGAGGCCAATGTTTTCAACATCTGAACACATATACCACTACAAAATTGAGAAAAGTGATAACAAAATTAACAAGGCAATTATACTTGCACTGTGTTTTTTTGGATTTGGTTAACCAACTTTAAAATAATTTTACATTTTTTTTTTTATTATACACACTCTCATCTATTATGCACAAATATTTTAAATCTCTTAACTAGTGTTTAAAGGGAACTTGTGAGAAATGGTTCTATAATATTTTTTTTCATCCCAAACAGACTCTTGTTTGATTCTCGCTCTGATACCTGAAACAAGAAATACTCTAGTTAAGGGTGTTAGAATTAACACTCTGACGATTAAGTCGGATTTTGGATGAGAGAAGATGAGTTAAATATTTCAGAAATTGAGTCAAGTTGGATGATAGTGCATACATTTTCCTTCCATGTACCTTCTATTTATAGAGTCTTGATATAGATATTTTCTACGTAATTTGACCTATTCATCATTATCATCACAATGTCAGGACCCAAGTTCCTACTACGCCTCCAGAAAAGGATAGCCTGGGCCTACTTTGGTACTTAGTATCGATGTTTGTCAATTTTGTCGGTATCACTTATTCAGTGTATCACTTGATTGGCAAACAGACTAATCGATGTTTGAACTTGTGTAATCTAGTGGGCTTAGTTGGGTTTAAATGCGCATTATTTGTCAAATATATAATTTTTATACTCGACATACACAATTGTTACTAAAATTCATATCTTTAATCTCTTATACATTCTATTTAAGAAGTTATAAATTTAAAATCACTGCTCAAAACTAAAAATTAAAATGTAAATAATTTAAGGAAAATGTTTTTTTTCTCGAATTTGAGCCCCCGAATCCCCCGAATTAGATAGAAGAGAAGAGATGGGAAGAGGAGGAAGAGAGGGGAAGAGATGGCAGCCCCTCCGCCCGCCGTCGCCTCCGCCCGATCATCGCCCCATCATTGCCTCGTCGCAGTTCGTCGCAGCCCCGCCGTCGTCTCCGTCTTTGCCTAGCAGCCTCTGCCTCTGCCTCTGCCTCTGCCTCAGCCTCCGTTCCGCCTCCCCCTCCAGTCCGATTTTGTTGACCCCTCCAGTCCAGTTCTCCTCCTCCTTCTCCTCCTCCTCTTTTTCTTCTGAAAAAAATAAAAAATAAAAAATAACGAAAAAAACGTCGTTTTTGAATTTCAAGAGGATTGAAGAGGCTTAAATTCGAGTAACCAATCACTGCTCATAATTTAAATATAAAATACAAATATCATTTCTTAACTAATCCCACTCAAAAATTGATAATATAATCTGTAAATTTGCCCGTTGGGAGCCATTCAATGAAAGAGATGGTCCCCCCCACGCACAAAGCAACTTAAAATAATGTTCCTAGAACGTGCAAATCAAAACGGTACCCTGGAATTTTTGTTATTAATTAATGATCCAACGGTCTCCAGAATCTTAGTATCCCATCAATCAACGTTCGACCCAGAACTTAACCTCGGCCGTCGATTTTCAATCAAATCCCACCTTAAAATGGGGGAGATGAACGGTCATGATTTTATGACACGGAAAGAAAAGTCCATGTTCTTTGAAGGGTTCACTGTTGCTGAGTTGTCAATCAATGATTAGTCAGACAGCGCGAAATTAAATTATTTTCAAATTAGTTGTCCTCAAAAACCACTCTCTCTTCGTCTTCTATATAAACTGCGTTTCTCTGTAACTTCAAACTCCATTGCCCCTCTCTCTCTCTAAAGCGAATCTGTTTCTCTCTCTCTCTCTACTCTAGCTCTCTCTCTCTCTCTCTCTCTCTCTCTCTCTCTCTCTCTATATCTCTAGCTTTCTCTCTCTGAAACTCCCTGTTTTTGTAGTGTTTCTAGAGAGAGAAAATCAACTCCAATGGCTTACTCGAGCGTAGTGGTGGTTTTGATGTTCGCTTTGGTGGCTGGATCTGCCATCGCTCAGGCTCCGGCAGCTTCACCGACGAAATCTCCGATGGCGTCGCCGCCGAAGGCCGCCGAGACTCCATCGGTGGCTCCGACACCGTCCGTGAAGCCACCGACCTCCTCTCCTAAGTCCTCTCCACCTGCTCCTCCCACCGCCCCGGCCTCGACTCCCACCACGTCGTCGATCGCCTCCACTCCCGTTCAGTCTCCCTCGGCCACTCCCAGTCAGTCTCCCTCGGCCACTCCTAAGAGCGGCGCCGCTGTTAACAGAGTCGCCGTTACCGGATCCGCCGCCGTTGTATTCTTCGCCGCAGCAACATTGTTGCTTTAGATCTGATATCTGGAGTTTGTTTTCTTCATTTTGATCGAGATGAAGATTCTTTAGGATTTATTTTTTAGATTTTAATTTTAATTTTAATTTTCTTTTTTATTTCATTGCGGTGGTGTTTGATGTTGTTATTATTATTATTATGATTACATTTGTCTGATTTACACTTGATTTGATTATTTGTATTGTATTGTTGATTCTGATTATGAATTCTTTTGCTACGATTTCTTTCTTATAATCTCATGGCTTTTTTCTTTGAATGCATTTTATTTTGTTTTGTTTTATTTTTCATGGAATTAATTTGTGTGCAGTTAAAAGTTGAACTAAGCCTATGTGGGTTTTGTGGCTTGTTTTTTATTTTTTATTTTGTTAAAATAGTCTAAAAAATAAAATAAGATTTTTAATTCAATATTATATTCTTTCTTTCACAAAAAAAATTAAAAAAAAATAAAAATCCTTTTCAAATTAGGTTTTTTAACTCCCGAGTAAAATAACAAAAAAAAAAAGTGCGCATCTCAAACGATGCCTTAAATCACACAGTTAAGATATTTGATCAATAAAAATGATTAAACAGCTGAACAATAAGGATTATTAGACGGAAGATTTTGATTAATAAAAATTATTAAATAAAATATCTCTGATCAGTAAGAGTTTTAAAAAAAATTAATTAAATTATATTTTCACAAACTTTTATCAGAAAGAGTTTATTACGAGTAAAATATAATTTTATTTTATCTATTTTTTTTTTCTCCAAAACACAACGTTATCAACTTAAAACTAATCACATTTTCAGTGTATTTAATTTTAATTTTCTGAATTTAGTTTTTTAAAAATTAATTTTTTTATTTTTTATATTTTTTTATTTAACAAGTTCGAGTTTAACAAAAATAATAAAAATTTAACTAAATTCAAACAAATCATTATCGAGGCGAACTTGAGCCTATTCACGAATAGCTCTAGCCCTGGCTCTAAGAAGTTATTTGGTGGTCTTCGAGTACCATTCATTTGATGACATTTGTCATGTTACAAACAAAAATAAAAGAATAATACTATATGTACACATTAGTATACTAACAGATGATGTGACATCATTTGTATAATTTTGAATATTTGTAACTTGTATAATAAATGTCGTCAATAATAATATCATAACACTAGTTGGTATACTAGTGTGTACACTAATTGGTGCATGTATTATTATTGATAGTAAAATATTTGTTAAAAAATATTTTAAAACTTTAATAAATATATAAAAATATAAAAAATATACTAAATTTCTTTATTTTTTTAATATTTTTTGGTATTTATATATTTTTTTATGAATATTTTTTATTTTTAAGTATATTTATATTAAATATGTTTAAAAATTATCATTAAAAACATTAAAAAATAAAAAATAAAATTTTCTGAAAATAACAACACACACGCTGATTGTTATTGGTGCTGTTTGGTGTAACTGTTAAAACAAATTATAAATTATAACTTAACAGATTATAGATTATGACTTTAATCAGAAGCTGTTAATCTGTTTGGTATAGCTGTTGGATTATAGATTTAAGTTGCTGAGTAGTGTTTGTTAAATAAGCTGTGAAGTAACTTTTTCAATTAATTTTTTTTTATTATTCACTATTTGTCTACATTTTTCATAAAAAATAATAATAATGTTTTATAGTCTATGTGAGTCTTTTTCTATTTTTAAAAAAATAAAAAATAAAAAAATCTAAGAATATAACTATGAATTAGCATGTCCCAGCAGAAGCTGATAATCAGAAGTAAGGGGTGATCAGTTTCTCAGAATCAACTTTTTTGACTTAAAATAAATTGTTAGAATCAAAAATTATTTAAAATAAATTTAACCAAACAATTCAAAATAACTTTTTAAAAACCAGAAGCTATAAACTGGCTCAAAAACGCCCCCACCAAACACCATTGTCACGGAGATCACATGCGAGTGTGACTGGGATAGTATTAAAAAAAAATAAAGTACTAATAAATTTGAGTACAAGAGTTTTGTTTCTCTGCGAGAGGTGGTGTTGTCGGTTTGTGCGTGATTAAAGGTGGTGGAGTGGGTAGTACTAGTACAAAAGCCTAGAGGTGTCTTGTGGCTTACAGCTGTGTTCCATGTGCATCAGAGAGACTACCAGGTTTATTAATTTTTAAATTCAACTTAAATTTAAGACTTGGGTTGAGATAAACTAAAAAAATATACTTTTTGATTTATTGTTTGGAAACTTGGTTTGGGGTTAAAATAGTCACAAAAAATAAAATAGGCTATTTTAGTCACAAAAAACAAAACATCAAATCCAACCCATAATCATTACAATCTCTCACAAAAAAAGTCAAAAAAGCCAAAAAATCAAAAAGCCCTTCCCAAACCAGGCTAAAATAGCCCAGGCTAAAATAGCCAAAAAGCCAAAAAGACAACCCACTTCCCAAACGGAGGCTTATTAGCTTAGAGTAATGCTAGAGACCCTAAATATTTTTTCAAAAGTTTTACCAAATATTTCACATGGTCCCATGTGGGTCCTACACCCATGTGAGACATTTGGTAAAACTTTTGGTAGAATTTTTGGGCCTCTAACATTTTTGATTAGCTTATATGGGTTGGGTTTGGATTGGGTTTGATGTGATGTGTTAGAGAGGTGATGTGATTTAAATAAGATGATGTGACTTAAATAGGATAGTGACTTTTTAAATTTTTGCATTATTTAGTAGATGCCAAACTTTACAAATATATTCTCACCTGATGTTTATTTAAAATACGAATTATTCTCGTGATTTAAAAAAATTATAAATATTTTAATGTCAAAATTTTTATTTAACAAAATTCATTAAAAAAATAAAATTTCTAACTATTCACCTATATAATAATAAAATTATTTAAATTATTAATTGAAATAAAATTTTAACATTATTAAAAATTGTTAATTAACTTGATGATTTATTAATAAAATGATCTATTTGTTATGAAATTAGAAATCATAAGGGGCATAATGTAATTTTTAGAATCATAGGGATAATTTGTAATTTAAATAAACTTCAGGGGTGTGTTTGTAATTTATTCTAAATTTAAGTACTTTTTAAAATTTATTTGACTTCAAAAAATAAATTGTAATAAATTAATTAAACGTCATATTTTAAAAATACAACTTTAATTTTGAAATAATTAAATAAAATAACAAAAATAAATTTAAAATTGTTTGAGCTTTAAATTTTATTCTAATTAACTTGGATTTAGTTTTTTAAAAAATTATTGATCAAGACTTCTTTTTTTTTTTTTGAATGATCTATTAGGAAAAAAAATCAATTTATTAGCTTATTAGTTTATTTGGATAACATTATCTTTTTTTTTTTGCACGTTTAAAAATAAAAATAAAAAAATTAACTTTTTTTCTACTTTCCAAAATAGGCCTTCAAACTTAAAAAATTGATTTTGTAATTGAAATCAATTCAATTACAAAATTGAGTTGAGTTTGAACTTGAGCAAGTTTGAAAGGAAAAAAAATTAAATTAAATTAATATACATTATGAACAAAATAGAGACTATATTATTAATAAATTTCATCAATTAAATATACGAATTTAAACAATTACCAAATATATAAATGCAGAAATAAAATAAATTAATAAAAATAAATTTTATATATTATAAAAAATAAATATTAATTTATATTTTTTTTGTATTTACGAGCATTATCGAGTCGAGCTTAGGTCTACTTGACCTTGCCTCGAACTAAATGATTTTAAAAATTGAGCTTGAAATTGTTGTTTAGTGAATAAGTTGAGCTTAAACGAGTTTAAATAGAAGTTCAAACTATTCATAAACTATTCATTTCATTTGCAGCTCAGGTGGGAGTAATTAGGTTTTCTGAATCAACAATGATGGAAACTACTAATTTTGGAGTTCTAAAAATACCACTAATGACATGGCACTCAATAAAAAAAGAAAAAAAAATACAACACCAAGGCCAAAACATCAAATCATTCATGATGGGGCCTACTGCCACATCATTAGTGGTAGCACTAATTAGTACTTCCACTCATTTTCCTTTCCGAATTTCGTGGTGGCAATGTATCAACCAATAGCAAGAGGTTACCTACATGACCTAAAAAATTAAAATAATAAATCACAAACTACCATTGATTAAACGTCACAATCATATGATGTTATGGGAAGACTAGATAATTTTTGGAGGGGTGAACTCTTACATAGTTTAGGATTGTAAAACAACTCTAGTTATTCAAGTGCATATTTGGTTTGTTAAAAAATGGTTTAAGATATATAAATAAGTTAAATTTGAATATAATATAAAGCTGATTAAACTCTAAATCAAATTTGAATATAACTTGTTTGGTTAGATAAGTTTATATGCATTATAAAATCAATCTATTCTTCCTCAGTTCAATTAAAATATATTTAAGATCAACTTGAAAAATAAACAATTCAATTTTGAATACAATTTAAAACTCATTAAAATTTTAAATTAAATTTCAACAATTCTACCATACTATTCCAATTTGTTTATAGCCTTAAGAGCATTTTGAACCGGAGAGGTATTTAAAGCACTTCAGACATTCTGCCTAGTCTCATTACAAAATAGAACTGTGTGTTTGATTGGGGGATAATGGGGGGATGCGGATTGTAATTCGCACAGTAAATCTAATTCGATGTTTGTTTTTTTTTTAGTCCGCCGGACATGGAGTCCGGCCGGACTCCTTATTCCCCATATGGAGGATTATATTATCTTAGAAGGGGTGTCGGATAATTTTGAGGGGATTATTTACTGTTGGGGATTAGGTGGTGAAATGATCATTTTGACCCTCTACTATTTAATTATGTATTATATTTAATAAAATTTAAATGTCTCAATTTAAAAATAAAATAATTTTATTTAACTTTTTATTGCGTAGACCGTCTCTCAGTGGCCGTAGGCTACATTTGGTGGCCGTAGGCCATTTTGCCCATTTCGGAGCCCGGTTTCCGGTTTTTCGGGACCGTTGGCCGTGTGCTTCGGTTCGGAACCGCTTAACCGTCTCCATTCGCTCTGAATTTTGGCATACATCTTATTTGCTCCCTTTTGAGGGACACTGGGGTCTGAGAAACCCACTTCGTAGCCGAACGCCACTTTTGGTGCTTAACAGCTCATTTCCGGGGCCCCGAACTGCGTGTTTTGGCCCCCGAGCATTCGTTTTGCATCGATTTTCGTTTATTTTTGGCAGGCACCTCTGTCTTATCAC